CTTCATGTTAATTTACACCACTAATCTGTCACAATAAAAAAGCTTAGTTTGAGAGCGTAAGTATGAAAAAAAAAAAAAGGTCATGTATGCTCATACCAAATAAATAGTTCGGACTCACTGACTGGGCCTTGGATTGCAATAAAGGTTAATGATATATTACAAAAGTTTCTTTAGTTTAAAGAGATTATAAAAATTAAAGGTAGCAAAAAAAATTTCCCTCAAAAAATTGAATCTCAATCAGCAAGGATGAGTAACCAGTGAGATGGTGTTGCATTTCTGTATTTGTTTTGAATATAAAGTCATCAATGAGTCTACTCCAGTCATTGATCAACTCTTTACATAGAGAAAACCCAGATTTTCATTTTTTATTTTTTATTTTTTATTATCAGCAAAAAGAAAATTCATTGATGCAACATAGAGTATAAAGAGAACATAAAAATTACATCAAAAAGCCAGGAGGGCTAAAGACGGCATTAGCATCTAGAATCATATCCCAATCCCAACTTTGTTGACACATGCACTCAAGCCAAGCATATGCTATGCCAAAAAGCTGACATCGGAAAAAACCAAACCAAAGCTCAATCTTCCCAAAAACTCTTAATGACTTCATCTAGTTTCTATGGTGAATTTTCAGATTGGATCAATGAAAAGAGAGGCTTGAATGTTGGTTCTTTTCCTACAGATAACTTCTGAGATCATAGTCCAAGCTACAAATGGGTTTACTCTTGTGGCATGGAGAATCCTCTTTGACATCAATCACAACCTATTATCAAATCAAAACCTTACATAAAATGTTAGCGTTAATTTTTTTGGTATGTGTTCTAAATAATGTATGTTGGGTTTTGATGTTAAGCATGTCGTTCTAAAGTTTTTTCCCAACATAGTGATTGTTGTGCGCTGGTGGTGGGCTCCCCAATTCCCTAACAACTTCAGTCTTAGAAAAATGCAATAAAAAAAAATTGAAATATAAAATTATGAATTTTAGACAATGCTAAAACATTATGTAACACAATCTAAAATAGAAGAGTACTGAAAAACAAATAATTAAATAAAAATAAAAAAAAGAAAAAAGTTTAGGTGTGATATTGAGAGGTGTGTCCTACTGTTGTTTCCCCACGCACATGAAGTTAGAAACGGATTACAATGGCCCTAAGATAAAACTTTCTCACATCCTTCACAACTTTCCATGTCCAATGTTCATGTTAATCAAGAAGGTTATGAATTAGTCACAAAGTAGCAAAAAAATTTTGGGACAAAGCCGTTCATGTACAACATTTTTCTAAAAAACTTAAAGATTCCATCATCTATTCTTAATTTCTTCATATATATTCTTTTTTATACCAAAAAAAATAAAAATTAGACATAATTTTTAGCTTAAAATATGTTTATCTTAATTTTTTTTTTTCTTAAAAATGATATTTATACTTCATTTTAAATCACTTATTTTTGTTTTACAAGTGTGAATATTTTAATTTTTTTTTTAATGCTAATAAGTTAGATGATTAAATAAATCATCAACATGATACTTTCGAGAAAGAAAAAAAAAAAAAAATCTTTTAAGACAACAAAAGGAAAAGAAGATTCGAGGATTTTCTTTTTTTTGAGTTATGGTCGAGACTCCCTTTAATTACTATCCTTATTATTTGCCCCCTCTCCCCATACATACATGGCGGGTAGTGATTGGAGGAGAAAAAAAATAAAAATAAAAATAAAATTGGCCAATCATG